GATGTCTGCTCTTCATAACTAAGACCTTCTGTTCTTTAAAAGACACCATCAAGAGGGAAAAGGCAGCTGGCAGGAAGGTGGCGAGATGTTTGCAGTAGAAATTGCTCACATTTAGAACATATAAAGAACTCTGACAATAAGGAAAGAGACACAGGGGACCAAACCACCACCAAGAATGCCAGGACCAGAATGCATCCTTTTGATCTGGGGTCCCTGTGCTGAGAACCTTCTAGACCCAGGGGAAGATTCATGGCAAGTCATGTGGAAATCTCCAAGGAACAGCGGGCCACCCCTTACAGCCAACAGAGAGGGAAAACCTTCCCTTGGAGCCTGTGCTCTGAATTCAGACTTCGAGCCTCCTAAACTGCAAGAGAGTACATTTCTGATTGTTAAGCCAACCCTGCATACAAATGGGTAAGAAGTTTGGACGCATACAAAAGACAGGAAGTCCAACTGAATGATAATGTGGGAGAGGGTGATACCACTAGACACGGAGGCACACCTGACCCAAGCCACAGTCTTTTCAGTCGTCCCACATGCATGCAGAAGCTGCCCGCAGACCCAGGAAGAGCAAAGGATTGATGCATTCACACTATGGAGGAGAGTACCTGAGCTTCCAGGAGAACAACGAAGAGATAGAACCAGGATGCCCCTTAGGAGCGAGGACAGCGAAACAAAGTCATCAGGAAAGAAGACCCATGGTGGTCGGTAAGTGGAGGGTCAGCAGAAAAGAGGGGGACCCTCCGTGAGACTGACTCAGACCAAAGAACATCGTGCAGACAAGCCAGAGCCACTGAACAGCACCAGATTGCCCTCGCGGTGGGTGACAAGGGAACTGGATGGCGTCAGTGTTCCTGAGGACGGTGGAGTAACTGGAGTGCTTGGGTGCTGTTGGCCGACTCACCGCACCCAGACACGGATTCGCCCGAAGCGCCGCCAAGTGGCTAAGCAGTTCACACAGCGGATCACAACCACCAAGGAGGACCGAGTTCGGCTGCGTTCCTCCCAACCCTGTGTCTCGCAGCCCCCTCAGATGTGCCCACACTCACTGAAGCGGATCAGCACTGCTCAGAAGCACAACAGCGGGGACCCTTGGGGGTGTCTGGTGGGAGAGGGTATGAGGGGCTTCATGGGACAGGGCTCCATGGGACCATGAGGGATCAGTGTACATTAACCTTCAGAAGGAAAGACATGGGACACTGCTGAGACCCCACGATGTCTCCGTGACAACAACAGTGCCATCTCGCCAGGCTTGTACCTGGTGTCCACCCAGCCTTGGAGAGGCTGCCAGCTGGGAGAGCAGAGCCCGACAGCGGGCAGTGGTCAGCTGGGGGATGCTGTGTTGCAGTGAGCACCCCAACTGTGACCCCAGGAAGGAGCTGGGCGTGCCAGTTGTATGCTGAGACAAGGAAGTGAGGCTGCAGAGGTCGGGGGCCGCGCAGGCCCGGAGCAGGATCCAGGGCCTCTGGTTCCCAGCCCAGCTCTCAACCACTGCGTCACTCCCCTGACGCCTCATTTGATTAGAAGAACATTGAATCCCCCCCACCCCCCGCCCCTCACACAGAGGGAGGGGGTCCGGAGAAGGCCGGACAACAGCCTGGAAGGACAGAGTGGTCTCATCCGTTCTTGGCAAGCCCCTGGCCCATCCCGGATGCCGGCCCCCCGGGCCCCTCGCTCAGTCCATCCCACCCAGGCGAGCAGCCTAGGCCTTCCCAACCCCCAGCCCCCGGCTGGTCCCAGCCCCTCCCCGTCCCGTAGGGCACAGAGCAGGCCCAGCCCGCTGACAGACGCAGGAGTCAGGAGACGCTGGGCTCGATCTGGACGAAAGCCAGACTCTGCAGCCCCCAGGAGCAGAGACGGGGAACGCTTGGAGTGAGATTCTGCAGGGTCTGGGAGAAAGTTAGAGACAGGGAAACTCTAATTAACGTACAGAGCTGGCTTTCCTCAGGGATCAGCCCGCTGTCATGTCACAGAGGCCGGGGCTGGGGGTGGGGGTGGCTGGGCACCTGGGGGGCCGCCACAGGCAGAGGCTGTTTTGGGGCTGGAGTGAGGTGGTGGTGGTGGTGGTCATGTATTGGAAGCTTCATGCATTGCCACAGGTTTCCCAAGTCACCAGGCCTACACAGAACCACTCAACCCACCGCAGCCTGACCCGGTACCGGGCCTGTGTCCTTTTCCCTTCAGGCTCGTGACACAAAGCAGGAGGACCAAAGGACCCTGGAAACATCCTGGGGGTGGGGGTGTCCCCCAAATGACAGGCACTCAGATGGCAGGACACTGTATGACCCTCGACAGACAGGACTCCAGGGACCCACTTACTCCAGATGCCCATGGCAGCCTTCATCTCTGCCTCTCAGAGCAGGTGGCCCCTCAAACCCTTCCATGGCTTTTGGGGTCCAGGACATGGGTGGGGACAGACAGCACGACACAGGAGAACAGCTGCCTGCTGGCCATGGGCACCCTGACTCTACCGTTGGCCACTAGGCCCAACCTCAGGGACCCTCTGGCACAGGGCTGCAGTGAGCTCAGCTCCCGGGGGCCCAGGCGGGGAGCGCACAAGAGCGGAACAAATGTGTCTTTATTTATGCTTTTAATTTGGATCTGGACCCGGCCCAGCTTGGGAATACGCTTAACATCAGTAAAACGCAGGGAAAAAACTGATCTGCTTTTCAGTATCCACCTCCCACCCACTCTACCCCTAGGGAGACCCCTGTGCTTGGCCCGGTCTCTCACCAGGACGAGTACGGGTCCTTAGATAGCATGAGGCCAGTAGCTATCGGTACCACGCAGGCTGTGCGGACAGATTGGATAGCCACCAATCCTTCCCCACACCGTCACAGAACCTAGCACTGCTCCCTGCTCCGAGTGGGAGCCCCCTCATACCACAAGCCCCAGCTGTACTTCTCTGGGGTCTTCCTGAGTCCTGGACACCACCCTGCTGACTATCCGCTGCCCACTTGTCCTCCAGGGCAGCCACCAGGTCCCCCCAGGACTGTCTAGCACTGAGGTGTTGGGAGGAATGGAAGCTTCCAGAGCCTCATATCCCAGCAACACTCCCAGTAGGCCAAGTTCTAAGCACACCTTATAGTGTGTCCTCAACTCTCAGAGGCCCCTTCAGAGAGACCTGCACCCAGGAACAACACACAGAGCCACAGAAGCTTCCAGAAGGCTCCTCCAGGGAGAGCTCCCCTACCTACATCTGCCCGTGGCCTGGCCAGGACACAACAGGAGGTGAAACCAAGCCTACGGTGTCCCAGGGGAGTGGGGACAGGAGAGGAAAACAATCTTAGCCACCAAGCATGGAAACAAGTCTGATTTTCCGAGTATCAAAACGAGAATCTAGTGCCCAGATCTGGGGGTCAATGCCCCTTCCCAACCCATGAGGTGCCCATTGGTAAGCAAGCATTTAGCCAGGTAGCCCCTGGCCCACTCACTGAGAGATGTGGGTGATGGGCGTCAGCAGAGTCTCCCCCTCTAGGTCCAGATCTTCTGCGAAGCTGTTAGTCCGCATGAAGTGGGGTACACTCACGTCCAGCAGCGTGGGGCTCTTCTTCACTGTGGAAGGGGAGATGGCACGTTAGGCCTCTGGGAGGGTCTGGAGCTGGCTCAAATTGCCACTGACCCCCAAGCCTGAGACAGACCCGCTCTTGTACACAAAGCCAGCCCAGGAGTGAGGCATGGACAGTGTACATGGGCCCACCCCCAGAGGACCGGAGATAGTACCTTAGGGTAATGACCGGGCTGCAGGCTCTGCTCTGGGGCCTGCCACTAAGCCCTCCAGTCTGAGCCTCTGCAACCTCATCCCCTGATGCTTAAGAAACAGTCCAACCGATGGACACTGGGTTCATGTAGGCCCAAGGACAGTGTCCACCATTCAATCTCACTCTAATGGTGACCAAGCGTCTACCGCATGCCAGAGAGCACAGGAAGGCAGGAGCTACAAGTCTGATCTTCATGCAGACCACAGTACCACGCCCACCAGCCCATTCCCAGAGGGAGGCTCAGGAATGTCTCTAAACAGCCAACACGGGAGCTTAGGGTGCAGAGCTAGACTACAAACTGGTCCCCTTACTTCCCCATCTGGACTGGTTCTTCACATGCAATGAAGTATTAGCAAGAAGAGACACATGAAGAAGACGGGAGAATTGATGCCTCTGAATTACGGTGTTGGTGAAGAAAACTGACTTATGTTGCAGACTGCCTGCCAGAAGAACAAACACACCTGTGCTGGAATTACAGCCAGAGGGCTCTTCGGAACCATTGATGACGAGCCTTTGCCTCACCTATTTTGAACATGTCAGAGTGACAGTCCCTGGAGAAGGACACCGTGCTTGGTAAAGTCACTGACACAGAGGTTACAACAATGAGTTCAAATGAATGACCACTGTTAAGGAGGTGCAGGTCTGGCCAGTGTCCTGTCCTATTGTACATGGGGGTCACTGAGTTGGAACTGACCCGATGGCACCTCACAACAGCAAGATGATGCACAATAACTGACACCCACAGAAGACCCCCTTCCTCAAGGAAGTCACGATTAGCAGCAGGTCAGAGCTGGCACCTCCAGTGTTCCCCCTGGGCACACACATGCAGAGCCTTGTCCGCGTGGATCTGAACTGCCAACCTTTGCGTAGCAGCTAAGTACGTAGCTAGGGGCCGTTCCAGGTATGAAGCAGTTGTACAGTCCTCTGTCCTTGGTTCGCACGACGTCTTTGTGTGGTTGGTGGAGAAATCAGACCACTGTCCTCATCAACCACGTAGGCTTCGGTGCAGTAACGTTCTCCCAGCCGGACACTGGTGTGGGCAGGTAGCATTTCCACAGCCACTGTAATCCAGAATGCTGTGCAGACACCGCTGGCTTCCTCACACCAGGCCTGGTTGGCCTGTGGACATCCTTGCAGGTCCACCATCGTGGGCAACGATGACAGGACCTGCTGCCCTTTTGGTCTCCACTGAAGGCCTTGCTCTGAAGTCCCCAGTGGGGTTGTCTGTCACGGTCATTTGCACTTTCCTGCTTATCAATTTCTAGGCTTTTTTTTTTTAATTGACCCTTGGTTACTTTTGTTAATGTGAAGTGCCATCGAATCGGTTCCAACTCATAACCACGCTGTGCATGGTTTCCCAGGAGCAGCTGGTGGGTTTGAACTGCCGACCTTTGTGGTTCGCAGTCCAGTACTGATCCTGTAACACCATATGAGGCACAAATAGCTTTCCTAATCTACTTTTGATCTTTTAAAAACTTAATGATAATTTTAAAGATTGAGCAAATTACTCAAGGAATACAACCAGAGTATTTCTTGGAAGTGAAGTTGCTAAGACTTCAGCTTGCTTACTTTGGACAGGTCACGAGACCAATACCGTGAGATGAGGACGTCATAGTTGCTCAAGTGGAGGGTCATCAGGAAATGAGGAACATGATACTGTGATGCACAGAGACAGGATCTGCCACAATGGCCCAGCACCCGCGGGGGCAAAGTTTCATACAGTTCTGTAGAAGGTTGCCATGAGTCGGACCTGACGCCACAGCAACGTACAATCACGGTTTTCTCTTTCCCTGTTGTGGCGCTGTAGGATAAGCACTGGACTGCAAGATCGGCAGTTCCAACCCACCAGCTGCTCCTGAGAAACTCTATAAAGGGGCGGCACTCTGAGTTGGAACTGACTAGACCGCACTTAATACCAAACCACATTTTGGAAATTGATGTGCCAATCTTTTGTGTATGAAAATGTTGTTTGTTGTCGTTATGTGCCATGGAGTCAGTTCCAACTCATAGCGACCCTGTACAGGGCTTCCGAGGATGTAAATCTTTACGGGAGCAGAAAGCCTCATCTTTCTCCCATGGAACAGCTGGTAGTTTTGAACTGCTGACCTTGAGGTTCGCAGCCCAATTCATAACCACTACGCCAGCCCAACCCAAAGTAACACGGTGCGCATTTGTTCCAGCAGTTTGTTGTACTGTGGTTGTGTGTGCGCTGCTAGAATCTATGCTAATGGTATCTGAAATACCAGCAGGGTGACCCAGGGTGGATAGGCTTTAGCAGAGTTCATAGACTAAGAGCAAACTAGGTAGAAGGAATAGGTGGGTCCACTTAGAGGGACTGAAAACGTCAAGAATAGCATTGGAACACTATCTGATACAATGCTGGAAGAGAGCCCTTCAGATCGGAAGGCATTCTAAATACAACCTGGGAAGAGTTGCCTCCTCAAAGTAGAGGTGACCTTAATGACTTGGACTGAGCTAAGTTTTGGGGACCTTAATTTGCTGATGGGGCACAACTCAAAAAAAAGTGAGTAGAAACAGCAGTGACCATCCATTCATAATTGGTATGTGGAAAGTATGAATCTAGCAAAATCTGAGGTTGTCAGAAATGAAATGGAACCTACAAAGATCAATATCCTAGGCATTAGTGAGCGGAAATGGACTAGTATTGGCCATGTTGAACCATATGGTTTACTAAGCCAGGAATGGCAGATTCAAGAGGAATGGTGTCGTATTCATCGTCAGAATATTTCAACATCTATCTTGAAGTATAATACTGCCTGCAGCAGGATAATAGCTATACGCCTGCACGAAAGGCCAGTTAATAAAGCTATTGACATTTATGTACCCACCACTAAAGTCAGATGATGAAGAAACTGAAGAAGTCTACCAATTTCTCAAGTCTGAAACTGATTAAACGTGCACTCAAAGTGCGCTGACAATTAATGGTGATTGGAATGCAGAAGCTGGAAACAACCAGGAGGAATACATCACCTACTTGAAAAATAGGGCCCTGGTGATAGAAACAAGGTTGGCGAGACATGATAGGATTTCCCATGACCAACAACTTGTTCATTGCAAATACCATTTTCAAATGACATAAATGGCAACTATACGCATGGACCTCTGTAAATGGAATACGCAGGAACCAAACTGACTACATCTGTGGAAAGAGATGATGTAGACGCTCAATGTCATCAGCCAAAACAAGGCCAGGGACTGATTACAGAACATGCGAGTTAGGTTGAAGCTGAAGAAAACTGAAGCAAGTCCATACTTACACAACCCTAAGTATATTTTACCCGAATTTAGAGACCATCTCAAGAATAGACTTGATGCACGGTACATTAATGACCAAAGACAAGACATCAAGAACTTCATATGAGTAAAGCACAAGGTGGTTAAACAAATAGGAAAGAAAGACGCAAGTGCAACAGTATGCACCAGAGTTGTATTCTTTCACCATACTTATTCAGTTGGTATGCTGAGCAATAATCCAAGAAGCTGGACTATGTGAAAAAGATCGGAGGAAGCCATTAACAAATGATATGCAGATAAGACACAACCTCGATTGCTAAAAGCAAAGAGGAGTTGAAATACTGATAAAGATGAAAGACTGCAGCCTTCAGGTATGGATTGTACCTCTGTGCAAAGGAAGGTGAAAATCCTTACAACTGGACCAATAAATAACATTGTCAACAGGAAGAGATGGAAGTGGTCAGAGACTTCAAATTGCTTGGATCCGCTCTCAATGCTTAGGAAACACCAGTTAAGAAATCAAACAATGCATTGCATTAGGTATGTTGTTGTTGTTAAGTGCCGAGTTGGTACTTATTAACCCCTAGCGACCCTATATGTGGTTTCCGAGTAGTGGCTGGTGAGCTTGAACTGCTGACCTTGCAGGTCAGATCAACTTTTCAGTCCAGCACATTAACCCACAGCGCCATACCAGGACTCCTGCACTAGGCATATCTGCTGCAAAAGACCCCTTTAAAGTGTCCAAGATCAAAGATGTCAGCTTGAGGACTAAGTTATGCCCAAGCCAAGTCATGGTGTTTTCAATAGCCTCATATGCATGTGAAACTTGGACAGTGAATAAGGAAGATCGTAGAAGAATGGATGTGTTTGAATTACAGTGTTTGTGAAGAATAATGAAAGCACGATGGACAATCAAAACAATAAACAAATCTGTACTTTCAGAAGTACAGCCAGAGTGCTCCTTAGAAGCCAGGATGCCAAGACTTCGTCTCTCATGCTTTGGACATGCTGGAGGGGGACATAGTGCTTGGAAAAGTGGATGGTCAGGGTCAAAGAAGAAGAACCCCAATAAGATGGATTGGTACAGTGGTAGCAACAATGGGCTCAAACATGACACTTGTGAGGATGGCGCTGTTTCGTTCTGGTGTGCACAGAGTCACTAGGAGTTAGAAATAACAACACGGGCCACCAATGACACAGGAAGTATCAAACAAATGTGATGGAAGGAACAGTCACTGCACCCCAGACAGTGGGTCAATGTTCAAACACTGCAGGAGGTCAGAAAGCATATGATCAGGAGTTGACGATGGTATTGAAGGAGGATGTCCAAACTGCATGGAAGGCTTTGGCACATAACGAGAATGCTGGAATCGACGAAGTAACAATAGAATGGTTTCAACAAAACTGATGCTACACTGGAAGCACTCACTAGTTGGTGGCAAGAAATTTGGGAGGCAGCTACCTGGCCAACCAACTGGAAGACATCCATAATTATGCCCAATTCAAAAGAAAGGTAAACCAACACTATGAGAAAAGTAT